CACTTGAGATGTGTAAACAAGAAGAATGATTACGGAGAAAATCAACAAACAGATGAATAGTCGAGTAGAAATCAGTTGATTTCGAAGTCGATATTCATTCTCAACATCGTCTGAACTTACTATGGAACGATAGAAATTCAACTTACACAAAACAGTGTATCCAGTGGTAATTAGTTCACGCAGCGACTTCATCGGTTAGAAAAATATTGCTGACACATTATTTGGCAGTTGAGTTAAGTAGGGAAAAGATAATATAGCAAGAAAAACTATCGCGGACAAACAAATGCTACTTATGTGGAATACCATCTGGTGAAATTTAATAATGCTCACATTCCAAGAGGAAGCGAAAAAGCATGCGCAACTGATCCTTGCACTAGTTACACTATGGAGTGTAGTCACACTTTACAAATATTGTTTGAAAGACAATAAAAATTTTGTTGTATTTTGCTTCTCTCACGAAGGTTATTCTGAATTTTCGTTCATAGATGGTGCTACAGTTGTTTCACATGACAACGGCGATTCTCTTTTGAAAACCAACATGAATAAGCATTTCCTTTAGGTTTGAAATATTCTTTTGAATATGAAGATAGAGTTATGATCAGAAATTTACAGATGCGTCATGTTTCATCTCTCGCTGATATTGATCGAAGTCGAACGTAGCATATCGTTAATTATACTCTTGTTATTTTTTTTTTAATAATTATGGTATAATATTTTATTGCTCAACAAATTCGGTAGGGTTATTAGCTTTAAAAACAAAAGGCTCAATATCTGAATACGTGGACAGCTGCGTTAAATGAATATAAAATAAATATTCTCTTTTGTTCACCTTTTTTTATGGTTACGTCAACTGACAGAGGCGATGTACCTAATTCAAACATGTGCGTTAACGCCTGATATTTTGCATTTTTCTCAGTTATTTCTCGGCATAGAAAAAATATTGTTACATTTCGGAGGAGAGACGCCCTTTGCGTATCAAATGATGCAAAAATCAGCTAAATATCTAATTAATTAAGAGTTAATGAAGACTTTGATTTTGTGGCAAATTCAGATAGTTAACTTAATTTGTTCATTGAAAACAACAAGCTATATATTATCCGAAACTTCACACTCCTACAATCTTGACAACAAATGACTATATAGTTGTGGTCAGTACTGAATACGGAACCTCTAGATTCAATGTTTAGAAGATAAATAGTCAACCAGCATTCTTTACCAAACACTTCTCTTCGTTCAAGCAAAGATTCATGCGCAACATTTTAAGAGTTTCATTCACAACTTTGCTCATTTGACACTGAATAGGATGTCGATTCCAGTGCGCAGCAGGGCTGGAACCGGTTGAACATATTCCCACCGTTCCGGTCCGGCCGGTTGAACATATTCCCACCGTTCCGGTCCGGCCGGTTGAAAAATTCTACCGGACCGGTCCGGCCGGCTCCTATCCCATGTTCAACCGGTAAAATTCCGGCAAAAAACGGTGTTACTTGTAAAAAACGTTTTTTATAAAAGATTATTTTCAAATGCGAAATAAGTTAGCACTGCAGAGAACGTAGTTTTTTCTCATGTTCTTCTTTTCTAGGCTAAGATATATATCTTCAAATTTTATTATTAATTTACTTTGCCGATAATTGGGAAAAGGTCTATATAGATATATTGAGAATGTATTTTTTTACCTTCTCCATACAGAAATTTGGAAGATACACTGTGATAAAAAAATTTCTTTTTATAAATATCAACCGGTGAATTTCCGGTTTTTACCGGCCCGGTTGATTTTTTCTACCGGTCCGGTCCTGTCCGGCCGGACCGGTACCGGAATACCGGACCGGTTCCAGCGCTGGTGCGCAGTGTAGGATGTATAAACCATGAAAACCACTAACACTGCTAGTATCGCTACACCTGTAAGATGTATATACGATGAACAGTGCTAACACCACTGACTCTCTTACTTAAATATATCATGAATGCTGCTATCGATAATTTAGCTAACATAATTTATGTACTTTCTCATTTTGTCAAAAATTAGCTGTTTACTTTAAAATTCTATTTTGCCGCAAAAACACATTCCCCAGCTTGTGCTGGATTGAGTGACCCAACTGCTTGTAAGTAAATTTATCGTATCGTAAATAAGAATCTTCGGTTAAAAATTCCAATGTTTTTCATTCCACAGGTGAATTAGTTCGTGTCAGTCACGATATGAAACATGCTTTTGAACAGTCCGGTGGCGATGAAAAATCTTTTACTACCAATCTGGTGTGTAGTAATACATCACGTGAAATATTACCTTCTTTTGTTATTTATTCAGCAAAGCAGTTGAATTCCGACTGGGCATTCGGAGGACCGTTTGATTCGTATTATGGTGTTTCTGGATCTGGTTGGATTAAACTGCACGTACTATTTAAATTTTCGAACAATATCTGCGCTAGTTCATCCGCCAGCGTTTTTAAACAATTTGAGAATTTCATAAAAGATAAGTGATCGTATCATCTGCGGTATCGTTCGAAGATCTTACAGTGGAAATGGAAAACCTACATGAAGCATTCTTGGTATGCAGTGCACTCAAGCAGTTTACGCTATAACAATGTGGATGAAATTCATTTATGCACTGTTGAGCTCAAATCGGTAATAAAATCTGAAAATACTTATGTACTTGAAAAATACTTGTCTTGTACGAATCCTTCCTCTGCATACTATATATAAGAATATAGGAGAATATTCAAAAGCACTTTCGTACTTCGAAAAAGCATGCGCAATTAAGGAACTAAATCTTCCTTAAAAAGCACTTCGAATCATACTCATTTGGCTAATTATTACACTAATGTCACTCATCTCTGTAAATAAATGAGAGATAATTTGAAGGCACTGGAATACTCTGAACGTGCTTTAAATATCTTCAAGCTATCGCTGCCTGATAATTATTCATACATTGTGACTATGCAACATAATATTAATTGCTTAAAAGATCAATAAAATATCTATTTCTGTATTTCTAATTGGTATCAATACTGAAACTATAAATAGGTGTCTGAGTTTTGAAGCATTTCAATCTAAGCGCGTAATAAGCGCCAGTGTCTGTTCTGGTGTTCGACTGTATTCTCGGAGATCTCTTGAACGATATCCAAACGAGTAATGAGGGGATAATGCATATATCACTCGTTTCGCATAGTCTATATTATATACCGATCCTAGTAAAAACATATTGCTTTTGCTGATTTATTTCTTAATGTTAATAGTTTTTACTTGGACTACAACCTTCTTTTGAATTATCCTGTTGAATAGCGGGTGAGCTATGAATTCTTTTGTTTTGTTTATTTTCGACTTTGAGTGGCGGTGATTGATTTTGATTAACTAATGAGGAGTGCATCAAGTTTCTTTTAAAGATATGAAAATAAGAAAAGCGATGTCTGGTGTCGAGTTACGCGTCACTTTAGTTTTTTTCTTCTTAGAATATGTTCTCTTTACGAGAAACAAAATGAAATAAATTTAAAAAAGGACTTTTTCTTCCTTTTTTTCTTCATACTTAATCAATGTATTGAGTAAAAAAAACATTTGTCGAGTGTAACTGACGCTAAAACAACGAATGTTTATGTTTTTATTTCCGAGACAAACTTTGGAAAAGGACATTTCAGTACAATTCTACTTTGTTAACAAAACTTTCTCTTTTCAAATAACGAGAAAATGAACTTTCACATCCAAATCTGTTTATTGTATGATTGATATCCGAAGAAAATATATTTAAAAAAAAAGAAATACTCGGTTTTTACTACGGTTGATAGAGTTCTGAACTACTTAAATAACCAATATTACTACTTCCACCAGTAACAAGTACTTTTCCATTTGACAAAACGGATGCCACGTGTGCATAACGAGAAGAATTCATACTAACAGTACTTGTCCATAAACCTGTTGATGGATTATATAATTCAGCATTNATTGCACATAATGATGATGTCCTTCTTTGTTTCCCTTTCTCTCTCATTGTTGTTACTCTCTCCTCGAAAAGGGAAGAGGCAGTTGGGAACGATATAGAATAAAGGCAAGAAGCACAAATCTTAACGAATATCTCGTTACAAGCTATTCTTCAAAATAAAAAGACCATCATTGTCCACGACCTTTTGCTAAAGATCTGCAAGCTTTCGGATTTGGTCAAAGTACCACTGCTTCGGCTTTGAATTTGAAAACTCTTGACATGCTTCTTCAACTTCATCGAATGACTCAAATCGGCGACATTTCATAGAGTGCTACATTGACTGGACGAGATCGTAGTCAGGTGGAGCAACGTCTGGACTGTAGGGTGGATGTAGCAGAATTTCGACATCGTCCAACTCTTCAAACTTGTTGCTGGCCGTTCTTGCGGTATACGGCTTTACATTGTCTTGTTGAAACAAAGCGCGTTTTCGACGAACAAGACTTGGATACTTTTCAACCAGCACATCGTAGACTCCATCAAGCTGCTCGCAGTTAAATTCAGCGTTGGTGGTGCGACCATTCGGCACAAGTTCAAAATGCAAGATTCCTTCGAAGTTCCACCAAACGCCAATCATGATCTTCGTTTCAAATTGATTTTGCTCCGAAACGGATAGAGGAGTTTGACCTTTTGGGACCCAACGCTTACTTCGATCGTGATTGGCCCGGTAGACCCACTTCTCGTCTGGTGTCACAATTTGCTTCCAAAAACGGTCATCCAGCGGATTGTTGAGTAATTGGCGGCAAATTTCGATTTGTTTAGCGGCTTGCGCTTCGGTCAACTCGCGTGAATCCTGTCGTGGCTTTTTGTGAACAAAGTCAAGTTTCTTGAGATAATTCCAAACTGTGTTTTGATCGACACCAAGTTCTTCAGCCAATTCGTGTGTGTTTGATAACGACTCAAGATCCGAAGCGGCTTGAAAGCCTTCTTCATCTAGAACCGTTGGTCGTCAGAAACGTGGCCTGTCTTCAAGATCCAATCATCTTCATTGGAACGTTGGAACCATTTCTGTGCAGTTCGCGGTGCCACCGTACCTTCACCTTCAACATCACAAATTGCTTCTCCAATAATGACAGAGCAATACGTGTAGCTCAAATTTTGTGATTCCGTAATCGGACATTTTCAAAAAATCAATAAACTTTCATAATAAGCACAAAACCAGATCAAAAACACAAAAAATATATAAAAAATCCTTATTTTAGCTAGGGGTGGCACTTTACTTATACTTTACCAGTAAATAAGTAAATAACACATTTACCGTTTACTTTAGTAAAGTAAAAGTAAAGTAAGTGTGCCTTCCATAGTTTTAACATGACGCAGGAACTTTTTCCTCTACATAATACATGATTCGTCTTAGTTGATTGTTATACATGAGGCATCAATGTGTTGCATCCCATTGACGAAATTTAATCAAGAAAAACGCACGAAAAATGTTGCATTATCATGTGATTGTATTATTATTTCCCATAGTGTGACAATGCATTGCAATGTTCGTTATTTTCAAGAAACGGCTACATGGGATTAAGATTCTTTAAATATATGTCGAATATGTTAATCGTGACGTGCAACAATTTCAAGAACACTCTCAATCTTTCCAAAGCAATCTACCATCCTCAATTTCTCAAAACTGCAATTCAAACCAAAACACTCAAACCTGAATACTACAATGCACAAGCGACCATTAATATCAACAATTACCTAACAGACAACAGCTACAGATCTAACGGATTAAGACAGCAGGCAACATCAAAATCATACACGCATCTTTGAGTTTGCTCGCAAGCAGTCCACTTTGCCATAATTTGGTTTGAAATAAGATTTTTGCTTTCGGAAATTTTTATTTTGAATTAAATCTGGTGAAATCATAAGCTATCTGATGAATTTTCGTCAGCAGAAGATGAAACTAGTGATGACAGATCTACTCATCCTCAGATCGTTTCTGCTGCACGCAGTTTTCCGCATGAGTTTGTAGGGTAAACCAATTGCAGCTCATTTTCCACTATCCAATGTATAAAAATTTCGTGTGTATCCGTAACTAATATGCTAGTTCCTCCGGAGAAAACCGTAATAGGCGTGAAAACATAATGACTATGTGTAAAATATCGCATGATTTTTTTCTAAATATCTCTTCCAAGATTAGTCAGATTGCATTACGATTGCGGAGTTTTTGATTTTTACATACTATATATCTACTAGAAACTTTGGTGCGCTCAATTATATCTCTATAATTTGAAAAATGTCCTGTTTGATTTCCCTTCGAACAGAACTCAACTTTCAAAGAGCTTTGTTAACCGAAACACAATAGAAATATGAGATGTGTTTTATAGCATATGTAATTGTCATGAACTTTCTTCGCTCAAGTGTTATTTTCTTACATAGATCGCGTGTTCTCGGCATATTTTATTCTTAATCCACATACATTGATTATTTGAGATGAAAAATAGCTCTCACTACTCTCCTGTAGTTTATGGGAAATAAAAGTTGTTTTTTTTGTGAATCATCCAGTCCGAGAAAGCTATAGTTATTTGAGGAGGTCAAACATACTGTACGTACTCATGGAAGGCACAGTGCTTTAGTCTGGCTCAAAACTTTAGAGTATACAAGTGTTTACAACCCGTATCTTCACTCAAACTTTACAAATACTAGAAGCTAATATGGTAAACAAGCAAGAATACATTAACATGCAAATTTGGTCAGAGTTGCGACAAAAACGGCCACTTACCGACGGATCATAATTCAGTAATGAATTGAGCAAGTTCATCGATGCTGCAGTATACAGTAATAACGATTTTTTGGTGAATACAGGATGCTGCTGAGTAACGAAACCAATTGTCAGTGCGCTATGAATGTTGTATCTCCAATTACGATATACAACCTGAATTTCTTCTCAGGACACAAATAGCACATCTAGAACCGTCTGCAATTCTGACTTTAATGAATGGTCGTTTACTACAAGTCTCTGGTTTAAACACTTACACTTATAGACATACAGAGATAGTTACCACGCACAGATAGTCAGTACTACTAGTTTTATAGAAAGATTTGTCGCTCGCAGGCTTCCAGATCCTTATCATCTAAACCTACCTTCAACACAGTACACCCACCTGCACGATCGTCAACAACCTTCTACTTCTACTCCCATCTTCTTCCTCACCCACACCTACGTCCTCAAAACGGGTAAAAACTGTAGAGTGTATAATCTGTCGAGGGATGATAAAGTCTTTGAATCCGAATTGTAACCCGTAGGTTCAGGAATGGCTTTAAATCAATATTTAAACTCGAATTGCACTAGTGTTAAGAGAGGAAAAGAGAAAAGTTAGAGTTTGCTCAGGTGTAGTTGCAACTAGAGATCCAATAATCAAAGAGACTTAGCGATGCACTGTGGCTCGGCAAATGAATCTTTCACTATACAATACATACCGGTTCATCGATGAATCTCAAGTATTAATGAAAGGCGAAATCCATCTCAGGTACACCACTATTGTTACTTTTCTAATCGTGATATCTCACCTAAACCTATTCTCAAAGTCACTATTCGCTCATAGAATCTTCCTGAAGTTTGAGTCTAGTGAATGGTTCACGACACTGCTAGTCGTTAGTCCTAACACTTTTGTTTACTGGCATACACATATGGTTGAACTTCTACTCTTATCGAAAGCTTTGGCCTTCCCGCCAGCGGCCCCCCATACGTACACTTGACCACCTTCTGAGCTCTAAATACTTCAATTCGTCGTCAACTGATCACATCTAGTCGCACACTTTTCAACGCTTTTCAGCTCTCGCTCTTCTTTTTCACCCTCACATTCACCCTCACACTTCAATTAATCTTTATTATTCACAATCAAACACGTATATATAAAACTAAAAATATGTTCCAAGCGTTAATGCTAGTATCTGTTTCTTGTATTGGCATTTCGACAGCCAACACAATGATTGAAACAACCTTCACCTCATATAGCGCATTTGTTTACGAGTTTTCCAGAAGAGATGATTCTCGTAATAGAAGGTTTAGGCTTAATTCCTAATGCCATAATAAGAGCGGGAGGCGTCAACCGCTAGTGAATCGCTTTGGTGTTGTTGCATATAATGGAGTTTCGTCCAACAGTATGGTAGTTTATCCCGTTCATATGACAATATAGAAATACATAGATTGTTCATAGTTGGAATATGTGTATTCATAATAGATATCTAGTTAGTGGAAAAGCCCGTTATTTCATTTGCTGCCACTTGCGTCCCAAATGTATCCGCATTCACGATTTCAGGGTCATTTCATCGACTTGTCTCGTAAATATGTTCCAGGAAAAAGACGACAGAGAGAGAGAGAGGATGTGAAAAGAAGAACTGTTGTTCCGGTTCAAGTCCTGCTAAATCACAGCATTACCCCAATTTCGGCTTCCCGAAATTGTACGCGAAACAACAGGGGGAGAGAGGAAGGTAGAGAGGATGGGGAAAGAAAAACTGTTGTTCCGGTTCAAGTCCTGCTAAATCACAGCATTACCCCAATTTCGGCTTCCCGAAATTGTACGCGAAACAACAGGGAAAGATTGTACGCACCTGTAGATAAGACAGTTTTTTGTATAGATGATTGGCCTTGAATGGATGTATTTGGGAGGTTCAACGAAAATTGCGCTTGTAAAAATGGTTATAAATCCATTGAGCTATATGCCCATTGATATATTCAGTTGTCACTCAATGCGAAGAGTAACGGATAATTGATGCAGTGGTTAGTGATTGAACAGTTTTACGAGATACGACACACATTATGTACTTCGTGTAGTATTAAGATGACTGTTTTTTCAATACTGGGCCATGTTTGTTAGACTGATTACTGCTTGCGTCCATATTTGGAACAATGGACTTACTACATACGAGAAGAGAAGCAAAGAGCATTGGTAATAGGGTGGAGGCGCTTTCATATGCAGTTGAATTAAACACTGTGATACAGTTATCGTCTCTGAAGTTTGCATTCTTCCCGAAGCAGACTTAGCATCGTTGTTGGTATTTAACGTTGGTGAGACGTTTGAGCATTGTTGATATTAACTGACTCTTGAAGAACTAGTTGACAGATAATATAGGTTCCATTTGCACTGTCACGCTGGTAGCGTCGATCAATGATCGACTTCGAGTGATCAACTTGTTTCGTTAGAGCAATATAAAACGATGTTGATATTTAGTATTTTTCACCAAGGACTAATCTTGTGTATCTATCGTACTACTTTGTGTGTGTGTTTGTGTGTTAAAATCGAATGCAGCCTTCGTATTGTTTACCTTGGTCGATTCTCCTTCGAATACGTGTAGAGAAAAAAATACAGGTATGTACGTATAGATATATCTTTGACGTCAATGCCCAATGATTCGAAAGGACATAAATCAATGATTGGAAATGACTCAGATCAATGATTGGAAAGGACACAAATCAATGATTGGAAAGGATACAAATCAATGATTCGAAAGGACATAAATCAATGATTGGAAAGGACTCAGATCAATGACTACCTCTGTTTCTCGTCATCTATTAACTTTTGTATATGATAAAATACTTGATGAAAAATGCTCCAAATGGTGAGAAAGGAGTAGAGAAACGAAAGAACTGCTAAATTACGACTTTGTTTTATGGCCTTTTCATTCACAAAAATAATATCTGCTATATTCACTCTAAAAAAAATTAGTGCTCTACTGAACCCTCAAAAAAAGTTCCGTGGTTACGAAAAAGTCTCCAGACAGGTTCACGATTACAAAACGCAATAAAAATTTCTACAGAACCATTAAAAGATCTTCCCGTGTATCGAAGGGAAGAGCCTTCTACCGCTAAACCTTCTTTTAAGTTCAGCATACCGAAAACAGGTTCCGTAGCAAAATGCAAAACTTATGGGGTTTCATATCAAACTATACAAGGACATTAAGATTCGGTACGAAACTATTATATTTTCCTAAAGAACTCTGAAAGTTTGGTATTATGCTACGGAACCTGTTTTCGGTATGCTGAACTTAAAAAAAGGTTTAGCAGTAGAAGGCTCTTCCCTTCGATACACGGGAACATCCTTTAATGGTTCCGTAGAGATTTTTATTGCGTTTTTGTAATCGTGAACCTGTCTGAAGACTTTTTCGTAACCAAGGAACTTTTTTTGAGGGTTCAGTAGAGCACTAATTTTTTTTAGAGTGAGGCGATTCCAAATTGGAAAAAGAATGGGGAGACCTGTAAAATATCTATTAATTGATGAGATGAGTATGGTTGGTTTAACTTTATTGGGAAAACTTAATCGAATTATTTGCTCTGCAAAACATGTCGATCCTCAGGTTCCATTTGGTGGTGTAAACGTTATTTTCTTTGGCGATTATTTACAATATCGACCAGTCTATGATTCACCATTACACACCGACTTTTCATTACCATCCAAAAAGAAACCAGGGAAAATACCATCTGAAAAAGAAGTTCAACAGCGTGTTGCACGTTCTTTGATTCTTCAAATCAATTGCGTGGTGAAACTTACACAAAAAATGCGAACAGAAGATTTACGATATCTTCAATTACTCGATCGTCTTCGCCATGGACAGTGCACTTATGATGACTATGAGCTATTGCAAACACGAGTTGTTGAGTAACCATCAATCGAATATCTACACGATTCTCCTTGGGACAAAGTAGATCCATGCTTTTAAATGTGAATAACAGGTCTCTTTTTTTCCCTTTTAGGCTTCCATTCTCGTGTTCCGAAATGAAGTTCATACACAAATAAACAATAAAGTAGCAGTTCATAATGTAACACAAATGGGTCATCCACCTATGGTTTGTGTTGCTCAGGATATTTGTAAAGGCACACCAATTGAAGACCCGATATTGTTAAAAAAATTATTAGAATTATCTGATAGCAAAACAGAGCGTTTACCTGGCTTGCTGCCTTTTGTTCCAGGCATGCCTATTATTTTGACACAAAATATTGCTACTGAACTTGGTCTCATCAATGGTATTAATGGAACCTTTCGACAGCTAGTATACCATGAAGAATCGGTATCAACAGAAACTTTATCTGAAATGTTCCCAAACAATGCAAAATATATGCTTTGATCGATATGACCAAATCGAAAATTGAATGCAAACTTCAAGATCTTGGACCGAAACTTATTCCAATCCCACTAGTGGAACAAACATTTCGTGTCGATATTGCCGATATTCTTCCGAAACAAAACGGTCTGCACTACCACTTGTACTTGCTTATTGCATGACAACATATAAAAGTCAAGGTCAACCTTTGAACAAAGTGGTTGTTGACTTAAAGTTCCCAAATGAAACTGATGAGATCGCAGCAATATACGTACCATTATCTCGTGTAAAACGTCTGGTCGATCTAGCAATTTTGCGACTATTTGACTACAAAGTTTTACTTATGAAGCCAAATAAGTCTCAAATCGCCGAAATAGAACGACTTGATCAACTATATACAAACACACAAAGCCGTTTCTCAGAATGGTTTGAATAAATTTTCGTTATTACAGCATAATTCCCATTATTGCTACGGAATTTTACTGTACATAATTCGTTTTCTTATAGGCTCCCTTGTAGTTTATATATTTGTGAATGTGTTCGAATCGGGTATACTTTGAACTAGATTTCTTTTTCTCTGTTGGCTATGCTATGCATGCGACTCCAGATACATAGCAATGACGTTTCTACTTTAAAGACATGTAAAGCAAGCTTTGACTGTTATGTAGTTATTTGTGAAAGTTTTGTAAATAAACCGTCTCAGCTGTAGCTTAAATCAGTACATTCTTTGAAATTGTTATGGAAGTGACTTCGACACAGAATGATAGGTCACAGACAAAAACAATGCATTCAAATTATTTTTAATGATCTCATCAACAGAGAGCGTAATTCAATATGATTGTTCAGTCGAGGATCAAGCGAGTCTGCCTCGATGAACGTTACTTGTATGATTAATATCCGAAGAAAATATATTTAAAAAAAAAGAAATACTCGGTTTTTACTACGGTTGATAGAGTTCTGAACTACTTAAATAACCAATATTACTACTTCCACCAGTAACAAGTACTTTTCCATTTGACAAAACGGATGCCACGTGTGCATAACGAGAAGAATTCATACTAACAGTACTTGTCCATAAACCTGTTGATGGATTATATAATTCAGCATTATTCAAAGCAAAACTATTATATCCACCACATACTAAAACATTTCCGTTTTGTAACACTGATGATGTATGATAATACGCTGTGTAATTCATACTACCAGTATTTGACCATAAACCTGTTGATGGATCATATAATTCCGCAGTATTCAGAAGAGCACCATTGCTGCTACCAGCAGTTATAAGTACTTTTCCGTTGTTTAATATTGATGCTGTATGCATGTAGCGATTATAATTTGTGTTACCGGTAATTGTCCAGACACCTGTAGATGGATCATATAGTTCAACAGTATTCAACGCTCCAATATCGTATCCACCAGCAACAAGAACTTTACCATTCGCTAATATGGATGCTGTGTGTAGACCTCTGGCATTGATCATATTTCCAGTACTTGTCCATAATCCTGTTGATGGATTATATATCTCACATCTACTTATAAAAACACCATTATCATCTCGTCCACCGGTGACTAATACTTTTCCATTTTGTAACACAGTTGCTGTATGATAAGATCGACTTTCGATCATATTAGAGGTAATTATCCATGATCCAGTTAATGGATTATATAATTCAGTACTATTCCATTGCGTACTACTACTAAATCCACCAATGATGAATACTTGCCCATTTGCTAGTAAAGTTGCTGTATGCCCAAATCGTTCGAAATTCATACTACCCGTAGTTATCCAAGTTTCTGTAGTTGGATCAAATAATTCAGCATTATCTAATACAGAGCCATTATTTCCACCAGCAACCAATACTTTGCCATTGGTTAATACAGTCGCTGTATGATAATATCGAATATCAATCATGTTAGTCGTAGCGAACCATTCTAAGAATAAAGATGATTTTAAAAGAATAGCTTATACACCATCGATTTGTTACCCGGATTTGATATTGTTGTCTTCAATTGATTTTTTCTAAGTAGAGTATAAATACCTATTGCTATACCGACTAAGATCATGAAAATAATCAAAACACCAAGAATAATAATCCACGGTTTTGGACATTTTTTATTCTTCTTCTTTGACTTTTTATGAGAATCCCATGCAGGTGCATAACTATACATATAAAAACAAAAAGTTTTACTATTAACCATTGAAAATATGCACGTTACTAACTTAGAAGAGATCTCTGATGTTGCAGATTCGATATTCAATGAAAAGATTGTTGGCGTATACATCCGATTTGTTTTCTTCTCAGATGAAATCTGTGAATCTGTGGTAACAGTTTGTAGGTCAGAATTTAAACTATTATTTGATAGAACTGGATAGTTGGATCGATGTTCTTCTGTAGATAATGCTTTTTCGTCAGATTTTAAAGGCAAATGTTTTCGATTTCTTCGATTATCATTACTAGATGCTACCTAATATATATTGTTATGACTGAATTATACAATAGTATCATTTTTCATTTGACTTACCTTTGATATCCAGCGAGATGACTTCCGCTTTGGTCGTCTGACCAATTCTACTCTGATCGACGGTATTTCTTGCATACAAGTCGTTTTTTTACAAAATAAAAATGAAAGAATTACAATTTATATAGTTGTATTCATCAATTTCATGGATGTCCTATCTATGTCAATAATGCTTGATTAAATTTTGAAGAGAACAAAGAACCAGGTATACTTCTGTTCTTTTCTGAATATTTTATTCAATATTTTATAGAAAAAAGAAATTAACATAATATAAACTCGCCCTTATCTAAACAAAATTTGCATCGGTTTCCTATTATGTACTGAAAACTATGTAAAAACTGAGAACATGTCATGGAGAACATTTTCTATACGGTCACATCAAGAGAGAAAAAGAAAAGAAAAAAGTACTTTGTACTCAATTATTTGGATGTTGTTTTTCATTCGAATAACGTTTCCTAATCCCTCTATTTACTTCTACTTCACATCGCCCTTCAAAAAATAGAAGAAGTGTTGCGTGCATGTAGTTGTTTTGACATTGCTGCAGTTATTTATACCGCCATCCTATTCGTACAGTGTTGACCATTGCACAATCCTTCTAGTGCATTTCCATATCCTTTGCTTAATGTTTCTACAGTTCGTGCAAGGGGGAATAAACTGATTTCCAGCTCTGAAATCAATGGATATTGCTTCCGATAATAAGTTTGAATATTCCATCAACTCTTTTGATATCAAATAGAGAATAAGAAAATATTGCAAATCTATCTGAGTTTGATGATCTCGACACGTAAAAATATGATGCTTGAGTAATGTAACATTAAGGTAATGTTTCTCTTACATGAGTTATACATTTTCAATTGTTCATAACCATTGTTTTGCGATGCAATTTGAAGACAGGCTCATGCAAATCACCCATAAGTATCATAAAATCACAAATAGATACTATTATTCAAGCTTGACATAGAGAGATTCAAGTATTATGTCGTCCTATTGCTATGCATTTTCTTTTTCTCCTTTCTGTAAAATAAACATGCATAGTCATTTCCAAGTTCCTTCCTACAACCAGATGATCGTTACAATATTTGATTTCTATGCGTGGCTATTTCAAAAACTTTTATATGATATGCATCGCTGTGATCATTACTTACTACAGACAAGAGACAATAATTGGGATTCATGGAAACATGAAATCAATAGTGAAATAAAACTTATGCAAAATGTTTACTTCAACGATTTTCTAATTCTATGGTAAAAGCATATAATAGTATTGTACACTTATGATATAACCATTCGAAAGGCCACGCTATGTATGAGTGACATCTTCATTCGTCTACCCATTACTTAATGTAATTGGGTATGCACTATTTCCCATTCTAAATTTGATTATACGATATTTCAAATGCTTGCGTCCACGTGTTTTTTTTCATTCTGTTCGCATGTATTTTCCATATAATTGATTAACAGCCAGAAGTTTGTTCATCGTCATTTATATCTTCGCTACCCAGGCCGAACAGTCCTATACTCGGCTCCCATCGGATCCAGCATAGGATTCGTTGATCTGGGAAGCCTATGGTGCGTTATTATTATTAGAATCTTAAAGAGATATAGATGAAATAAGAAAGAACAATAGAGCGAAAGACGCTCTATTGATCGATACAAAAGAGCTTTTTAATAATCCATTTGTAAGAAAAAGAAGAACTTCTGTCACTACTTTTGGACTGCCCAAAGTAAATATGTTTCTTGATACACATTAATATTTTATTTTGATATTACATTATCCAATGAAAGTGTCCTTTCTGAGATTCCCTGTTTTCAGTACGATTTATATCATGTTTGAAGCCTTAGCGCACTGCTCAAATACAAGAACAGATGCGTGCCATTTCCTTGAAAGAAAAGGAATATTTGCATGTTAAAAAATCGCAGTTTACCCTCGTTATTATAGCAACTCTAATACATGATTTTTTGAAAGTTGTTTTAAAATTACTCTCGCTCACATCTCTAAATCGTCTTCCATCAAAGAAAAAACTGTTGATAAGATCCTGAATAAATAACTGATCAGATTATTTTGAAACCTAAACAAGATATGGTTCTTCTAAAAAGTTACCTAGAAGGCGTCTGTGGTTTTTTAGACGTGTACAAATTGCATCAATTATGCGGACAACCTTATGAGTATGGGTATAGATATGTATATTTATGTTGTGGAAATCGATGACAAGAGGAATACAATAATAAATGAAATAGTTGGTTCACCTAATAAATCTATTCGTGGTAAATTTTCATGATCTTTATTATTATTTGTATTATATAGAAGAGAAAATTTTGCAGAGATAATATTAATTACATTTGTAAAACAACTTATGAGCCCAGGTCGAACAATCCCATACTCGGATCCCATCGGATCCAATATAGAATTTTATCAGATCCTACAGGAATTCGACGGATCCGATGAAATCCTGCTGATGGAATCGTATTGGATTCCGACGGTCTCGGATCCCACGTCGGATCTCGTCGGATCCGAAACATGGATTTCCTGGATTTTCTAAGGGCCATCATAGAATATAGCTGGAAAGATCGCTCATAAAATTTGCAACAACCGACGGGATTTTTCTAGTCGGATTGCAATGCAATTCCGTTTCCAGGAATCCGATCGGATTTGGTCAGATGGTCGAATCCAGCATCGGATTTGTCGACCTGGGAAACCATCAAAATCATCTAGAACACCGAAATGGCCAATACCGCTGCTTTCTGAATACAGTTCAGATTTTTCTGCAATTCATTTATTTTATTCAAATTCATTTTGCTACAAATTCTTATTCCTCATCATATGTCATACCCACACCCACTCTCAAGATGGCCACTTTTTTTTAGACATGATCCTCCTTTCAGTCGAGGGAATGAAAGAAGGACACATATTCATATAGTTCTTTTAGGTATTCTGTTAAATAGATGTTAATTATTTATCGACTGAATATACACGATATGAGATAGCTTATCGAAGTGAAAGGAAAAATTTATTTGTCAACATTGGATGTATTTCTCTCCACTTTCTTTTTTATAAATGAAAAAAATCTTTGGTTCATCGTACAAGAGTTTTGATATTTACTCGTATTAATTTTCGAAATACATCATTGAAATACGCGACAATGATATATGTGCCTTTTCTTTCAATTTTGTTTTCCTACTAAGAATAAGAATCAAAACGTCTCTTATCATTCACCATGTGATGTATTCATAAAGATTCGCGTTATTCTCCATGCTTTTTTTGTTTAAAACAAGTAAGTAATCGATAATTATACTAATAGTATTGTTTCGTTTCTTTATTTATTTCAGACATGTACCCAGAAAATGGATGAAGTGATGGAATATTATGATCTAAAATATGAAATTTCACTTAATGGTCAAATTATCATTCGATCAAGAGAAAAATAGAAAAAAGATTTGCAAATCTAAATTATAAAGTTGAAACCGTCGAATTTTTACCAACTAATGAAATAATAAACGATTTGAACAAATTTGTGTTTTTCTCGAAAGATCATCAGATAGTTAATATAATACGCAGAGAAATGAACTTTCAGAATATACTAACGATCGAATTTGCGNTATTATATCCACCACATACTAAAACATTTCCGTTTTGTAACACTGATGATGTATGATAATACGCTGTGTAATTCATACTACCAGTATTTGACCATAAACCTGTTGATGGATCATATAATTCGGCAGTATTCAGAAGAGCACCATTGCTGCTACCAGCAGTTATAAGTACTTTTCCGTTGTTTAATATTGACGCTGTATGCATGTAACGATTATAATTTGTGTTACCGGTAATTGTCCAGATACCTGTAGATGGGTCATATAATTCAGCAGTATTCAAAACTCCAATATCGTATCCACCAGCAACAAGAACTTTGCCATTAGCTAATATGGATGCAGTGTGTAGACCTCTGCCATTGTTCATATTTCCAGTACTTGTCCATAATCCTGTTGATGGATTATATATCTCACATCTACTGATAAAAACGCCATTATCATCTCGCCCACCGGTAACTAATACTTTTCCATTTTGTAAGACGGTTGCTGTATGATAAGATCGACTTTCGATCATATTAGAAGTAACTATCCATGACCCAGTTAATGGATTATACAACTCAGTACTATTCCATTGAGTACTACTATCAAATCCACCAACGATGAGTACTTGCCCATTTGCTAGTAAAGTTGCTGTATGCCCAAATCGTTTGAAATTCATACTACCAGTAATTATCCAAGTTTCTGTAGATGGATCAAATAATTCAGCATTATCTAATACAGAGCCATTATTTCCACCAGCAATCAATACTTTCCCATTGGTTAATACAGTCGCTGTATGATAATATCGAATATCAATCATATTATTCGTACTGAACCATTCTAAGAATAAAGATGATCTTAAAGGAATAGTTGATACACCATCGATTTGTTACCTGGATTTGATATTGTTGTCTTCGATTGATTTTTTCTAAGTAGAGCATAAATACCTATTGCTATACCAACTAAGATCATGAAAATAATCAAAACGCCAAGAATGATAATCCACGGTTTGGGACATTTTTTATTCTTCTTCTTCGACTTTTTATGAGAATCCCATGCAGGCGCATAACTATACATATAAAAACAAAAAGTTCTAATATTAATCATTGAAAATATGCACTTTACTAACTTAGAAGAGATCTCTGATGTTGCTGATGCGATATTCAATGAAAAGATTGTTGGTGTATACATCCGATTTGTTTTCTTCTCAGATGAAATCTGTGAATCTGTGGTAACAGTTTCTAGGTCAGAATTTAAACTGTTATTTGATAGAATTGGATAGTTGGATCGATGTTCTTCTGTAGATAATGATTTTTCGTTAGATTTTAAAGGCAAGTGTTTTTGATTTTCTCGATTACCATTACTAGATGCTACCTAATATATATCGTTGTGACTGTATTATACAATAGTATCATTTTTCATTTAACTTACCTTTGCTATCCAGCGAGATGGCTTTCGCTTTGGTCGTCTGACCAATTCTACTCTGATCGACGGTATTTCTTGCATACAAGTCGTTTCCTACAAAATAAAAATGAAAGAATTACAATTTATATAGTTGTATTCATCAATTTCATGGAAGTCCTATCTGTGTCAATAATCCTTGATTAAATTTTGAAGAGAACAAAGAACCAGGTATAATTCTGTTTTCTTCTGAATTTTTTATTCAATATTTTATAAAGAAAGAAATCAACATAATATAAACTCGCCCTTATATAAACAAAATTTGCATCGGTTTCCTATTATGTGCTGAAAACTATGTAAAAACTGAGAGCATGTCATAAAGAACATTTTCTATATGGTCACATCAAGAGAGCAAAAACAAAAGAAAAATGTATTTTGTACTCAATTATTTAGATATTGTTTTTCATTCGAATAACGTTTCCTAATCCCTCTATTCACTTCTACTTCACGTAGCCCTTCCAAAAACAGGAAAAGTGTCGCATGCATGTAGTTGTTTTGACATTGCTGCAGTTATTTCTACTGTCATCCTGTTCGTACAGTGTTCACCATTGCACAATGCTTCTCAACTATCAGAAATCGTTCTGAACAATTCTTCTAATGCATTATCATATCCTTTGCTTAATGTCTCTACAGTTCGTGTCGTAACATTTGAATTGTTTGGTGCATTGGTGTTAACTAATACTTCCTTACAACATAATATTGCACGGCTTGTCCGCAGGTAATGCACTCACGTTTTGGACACCTTTTCACTAAGTTTTCTTCCTAATCGTTTGGCCTTAAGGTTCGAAAACTAGAGGGTAAATATAGGTCAGATTAATTAATTTTGTGTGCGACTCATAGATATAAGCTTTATCAGTCAATTATTTAATTATAAAATACTTATCGATAATGCACTCGCTGATCTGAGCATCAAGACAAATACTCAGATTCCTGCAAATACTCATCTCAACGATGCATCGAAGCTACTGCAGTTTACAGAGGATGGTTGAAGGTTTTGATTGAGAAAAATACTTAGGATTATTCAAAAGTAATGTCGGAGCTATCTTATTTTTTTAGGTGGACGGACAGTTCGTCGCCAATATAATTAAATAGAGGATGTTAATCATGTATGTAAGACAGATGAGTTTCTATACAAAGTCGTCTCGTAATTGATACTGATTGGATTTATTGAAAGAAAATACAACACAGAAGAAATACAAAAAATATCTACAACAACATATTTGCAGCTAAGTCTTTCAAATATTCACCTAGATCGACGCTATTGTAATCACCAACTAATCGCGTAATTCTCTCGTCGAGTTTTCGATAAACTGCTTTTTTCGGTTTCGGTTCGTGGCCTTGTCGAATTTGAGTGATATCAATCTCGAATTTCGATTGTTCCATACGGATTTTGTCGGCTAACTTCGTGATCGTTGGATGAGCAATTGAAACACGTTTCGCGAATGCATTGTGCCAGCCTTCGATGGAATTGTTGGATCGAGGAAGATTGGAAGTTATTCGATCGTGAATGTTCCATAATTCAATTGGAAATTGTGGGTTTTTACGACCAGCACCTAAAAATAAAGGTAAATTCATTTTTTTCATCATTCAATATTGTTACCTCTTCTTTTTCGTTCACCAATCCAGGTTTTCTCGAAATAATCGAGAAATTGATCTGCATCGTCGTCGAAGTCGTCGACTATCAATTCGAAGGCTTTTACCACATCTAAAATAGGAACAAAAGCTAAAGCGATAAGTTTTTTAACATTTAAATGGAACGACTTATCGGCCTGGTATTTATTTTGTAATCCGTGACTTTGAATATTTCGCCAAATGCACTGACCGAAATGGAACAAGCAACCTAAATTAGAAATAAATCTTTATTTATTGTTGATGCAATTTGTTTCTTTTTTACCTTTGTGTAGGACATTTGGAAACAGTGATTTGACCGATTTTATCGTAGCGGACTCGAAGTCCGTCAGTATTGAATCTGGATTGAAATCGTCTTCTTCCATGATGNACAGTTTTTCTTTCCCCATCCTATCTGCCTTCCTCTCTCCCCCTGTTGTTTCGCGTACAATTTCGGGAAACCGAAATTGGGGTAATGCTATGAGTAAGCACGACTTGAACCGGAACAACAGTTCTTCTTTTCACATCCTATCTCTCTCTCTGTCTCTCTCTTTCGTCTTTTTCCTGGAACATGTTTACAAGACAAGTCTATTAAATGACCTCGAAATCGTGAATGCGGATACATTTGGGACACAAGTAGAAACAAATGAAATAACGGGCTTTTCCACTAACTAGACATCTACTATGAATACAAATATTCCAACTATGAACAATCTATGCATTTCTGTATTGTTGGGTGAAACTGCATTATATGCAGTAGCGCCTCCCGCTCTTATTATGTCATTCGGAATTAAGCCCAAACCTCCCATTACGGGAGTCATATCTTTTGGAAAACTCGTAAACTAACGCGCCACATGTGGTGAGGGTTGTTTCAATCATTATGTTGGCCGTCGAAATGCCAGTACAAGAAGCAAATACTATCATTAACGCTTGGAGCATTATTTTTAGTTTTTTGTATGCATGTTTTATTGTGAGAAATAAATATTAATTGAAGTGTGAGGGTGAGGGTGAGGGTGAGAGAGAAGGGCGAGAGCTGAAAAGCGTTGAAAAATGTACGACTAGGTGTGATAAGTTGAAGATAAACTGAGATATAGATAACTCAGAAGGTGCTCAGATATATGTATAGACGGCCGCTGATGGAAAGGGCAAAGCTTTCGATAAGAGTAGAAGTTCAGCCATTTGTGTGTGCCAGTAGACGGAAGTTGTCACGTCTTGAGGTGAGAGAGAGTTTATTTAGAAATAAACATAAAACTGAACAACACTAGGAAAACATCGTGACTACATATATAGCACTAGAAGGGGGAAAATACCCTGCGAATATTCCAACAGACTATGACGACATGGAATATTCCGTAAGGATATTTCCAACAAGGACAAGACAGTCATGACATCTATAGGAGAGAGATGTCCCATGACATCACTATATCACATTTCTCTCCCTTAAATTTCTTCGATAAGACGCTGTGGAAGTTTCCGAATTCTTGTTGTACGCTGAAGCATCGGAGACTCCTGGTCAGACGAGGAAGGGCTCGACGATGTCGATGCGGTAGCTGTTGTCGTTGGTGTTGATGAAACAGACACCAGATTTGATTCTTCATCTGCATCCAATGTAACTGCTTGTGATACACCAGTCGATGGAACAATATCATCCATGTTGTCATCCTAATCGTCCCAATGTCGAAATTGAAGCTGATTTTCCTGGCGTCGCCAAGTCTGCTCACCAATTTTGACTAACCATAATCGAGATCCTTGACGGCGAATTAATGATCCCGGTTTCCATTGTGATTTTGTTGAGGATGCTCTAAAATCACGTACTAACACTTTGTCGGTGACTGGACAATTCGTCGTCGGACAATTCGTCGCAGACGATTCGTTGCAGACTATTCGTCGCACGGACAATTCGTCGCATAGACTATTCGTCGCAAGACAGTTCGTCGCACATTTAATTAATTGTAACACGAAGAATATACACAAAAGACTAATTTATAGAAATTGATAAATGATTGTTTATCGATGAGAGATAATTTTATTAATGAAAAGAGAAAATATGACAAAAAACAAAAAAAAAGAATTCTATTTAAATTGACACATTGACTGCCAAGCTTTTCAAGTATTCACCAAGATCGACGTTACCATAATCATCGACTAAACGTTTAATTCTATCTTCGATTTTTTTATACGTTGTTTTTTTTTCGCTTCTGGTTGTTGACCTAGACGAATTAACGCGATATCAAGTTCGAATTTAGATTGTTCAGTTCGAATCTTATCAGTTAACTTGTTAATCGTTGGATGAGCAATTGAAACGCGTTGAGCAAATGCATTGTGCCAACCTTCAATAGAATTGTTAGTACGAGGAAGATTTTCACTTACCCGATCATAGACATTCCACAGCTCAATTGGAAATTGTGGACTTTTGCGACCAGTGCCTAAAAATATTTAATACATTTTTCTGGTTTACGATTAATGCGTTTACCTCTTCTTTTACGTTCTCCAATCCATGTTTTTTCGAAATAATCGAGAAATTCGTCGGCATCATCGTCGGTAAAATCGTCAATAATAAGCTCGAAAGCTTTAATCACATCTAAAACAGGAACAAAAGCTGAAGCAACAAGTTTTTTAATATTTAGATGGAACGACTTATCCGCCTGATACTTGTTTTGTAGTCCATGACTTTGAATGTTTCGCCAAATACACTGACCGAAGTGAAATAAGCAACCTAAATGAATGAATATAAAAATTTTTTTCACTGTTCATTTTTCATATTATTTTTACCTTTATGTGAGACATTTGGAAATAATGATTTAATTGAATTTATTGTAGCAGACTCGAAGTCAGTCAATATTGAATCTGGATTAAAGTTGTTGCATGTGTGAAAAATGATCATGAATAATGGACATTACATAAATAACAAGAACGATGACAGTTGTTTGGTTAGTTTTGAAAAAGGTTGAAATTAACGAGGACCGTTCTCGAGACATCATTTGGAAGCACAAGTTTTATCTAAAGTATAACCCAATCAGTCGAGGGTAATGCGAGTCTCCTTCGGCGAGCGTTATTTTATCTTATTATCTTGATAATTTTTTTCTAATTTTGCGCTTGAAATGATGATATACTACCGGACATGAGCATCGTTTACAACCGTCCGTGATTGGCCTTGGGAGCCATTAGGCTTGGAAAAACTGAACGTGGTTCGTATTTTCATGAGAGCATTTCTTGTGCCATGGAAAATCGAACAGATAGCAACTGTAACAAAAAACATTTAGACTCTAGTTATTTTTGCCTGCTATCAGTGTCAGAAATCGCAGATAATATTACATCTACCTCAAACAATGCTATAAAAAAACGTAGATGAAAAAAAAAGTGTTATTTCCGTACTTCCTACGCATTCAGAAAAGAAAAAAAGACTAAATACTATTCTATGTAATGTAACTTCCTACTCTCTTTTTTTCTTAAAAAAACAACACTATTGAATATAAGACTTTACGAAATGCAAAACATGAATGTTGTCAAGGTAATTTAGAAGCAGATCAAAAAGAGGAACGGTGAATTGTAAATATAAGATTCAAAAGCACACATAATGGAAAGTAGGAAAAACTTTCTTCTGAGATCAACGAATTTAGAATCACTTATTAGATGATCGTCTAACTTAACAAACGTCACACATATTAATGAAAATAAAAGCCACTTATTGAGGTATTTCAGTACATCTTTTTCTCGTTCGTTTCAAATTGAATTTTGAAGAAAAAAAAAACGATCATCCCATATATATTCAGTACCAGGACTAAACGGACTAACAAATCTATACACTTCTAATCAACGTATAGAAAATAATGAATTTCTTATACAAATCAAATATATCAGGTGAATTTAATCAAGGTTCCATCAATCACATTTTGCCCTTCTAACCATCAATTCTCACCTTCATCGTCCTCACCCTCAAGATTTGAAATGTTCACACTTTTAATTTAATAAATAAAAAAAAGAGAACAAAAAGAGGATTTCTAAGGAAAATAGAAGCGGAGTGAATAGGCAGCTTATAAATCAAAAAAGGTTCAAGTGAAAATTAGTATATTCGAGAATATTTAAGTTAAAACAATGTCTACTTCAGTTCCATAATTCTTTTCATAGTACGCCGTGCCTTTTGCATTGCGACTACTGCGAGTCCAATCATTATCATTGTATATGAATACATTGACGAAGTGATTTGGAAACGCAGTCTTTAGTTCATCGCGAAGAATATCACGTCGTTTTGAACCATCTGTTTCTGCCTTTGTTTTGAGAATGTAAGGCGTTGCTCTTAATTGAACGTGATCTGTAGTCATACTTTCTCCAACTGATGTCGAAAACTTAATAATTCTCAGCCAATAATCATCTTTTAGCTGCAGATCTAACAATTTTGTCCCATAGAACCATTCAGCACTACCACTTTTATATTTGTACGCTACAATGGTATCGTTAGGAAAGACTTCATGGAACTTTGCTATAATATAGGTGGTACTGGTTGTATCCTCTACAAGAAAAAAATATTTCGTAAAGAATTTTTTGAAGAAACCCATATATAGTGATCTGAACATAATATTTCTTGGTGCTATAATTAGACTACGCATAGATAGCTTGATTTAGATTAAGGAAGATATGGTATTGGTCTACAGATTTCGAGAAAATTGTTTTTTTTAACACAACCATTATTACTATTTGAACACACGTCACATGACTTGGCATAAGACAAATCACTAGCGATTTTACAATCTACATATAATCCATAAAATAAAAGATGTTATATTGAAAAGACTATTTTAAAAAAACACTCAAACGATTACCTAGAAAGATTTATCTAATTTTTGCTCAATGAATGTCATCTATTTGGTCGATATTTTTATTATTGACAGGCCACGTCATCTTAATTTGGAATAAATCGGAAATTCCAGATAAAATAGATCAACTAAGTAGGGAACATAATACGATTCATAAATATAGGACGAAGTGCGAATTTCTGTCATCTGATGTCATAGTGCAATATATAGACGAGTTGATCAGAATTCATAGGAAAATACGAACATATGAGTGAGAGTGTTGATAAAAGGAAAATATCTGCATCTTTATTCTGATATTCTTACCGATAGTTTACTGTCTGATGTCTTTTAGTATGAAAACAACAGTGTTGTAAAAACGAGTTGAATATCTTCTCTAGTAAGAGGAAAAATGATGATAACAATGGCTACACTCACCGGAGTTCCGATGTGTACCAGTTGCCCATATAGGTGCGTTTGTGGTATGACCTTTGTAAAGAACCAGATTGCCATCATCTTGCATTTGCAGAAACGTATATAGTTGTGTTTCTTTTGTTCCAGTTTCCCATATTTTATCTTGATTTCCATCATAAACAACAAAATTTCCATCAAACTGAAGAATAGCATAATATGGTGAAACACCATGTCCATTTGTTCCAGATGCCCAAATGGCTTGTAGAGAATCGAATCTATGTATTTAAAAAGTTATATGAAAAGATACAAGGTTTGCAAGTTGATCAGAGAAAAAAATATGTAACATCAGTTCAAAATCATTGTTCATGCGTCAGTTTGTTTACATTTTCTTTCGAGAACGATGATTCCGGAAGCAGTATTCCACTAATTTCCGACGAAAACCTGCAGGAAACTTCTTATGTTCTGGTTAGAAAGGCCCGAAAAATGCTCAAAATCTGACGCAAAAATCCTACGATTATATTCGGCAACCGTTCATGACGGGTTCCAATCGGTTCCAGGTGAAACTCAATAAATCCAGGCATCGGATTCTTCGACCTGTGTTCTTTCTTTTAATTTATTTTAACAAGTGTCTGTAGAATTCTTCAGATACATAGTTATCTCTGACTCTATATCCCGCAAGCCAAAAAAAAGATTCGTCGACTACTATAGATAGTTTTTGTAGTTCTTTTCTGAAAGATCAAACTATTTTGTATACTAATCGTATAATTAACTTACGAAGAATGTTTGTACAAAACAAGATTACCATCAGATTGCATTGCTAAAAAATAATTACCATCTGGTGCTCTCAATTGTTGAGTCATATTTAAACGTTGACCTTCTTTTAATACTGAAGGATATTGATAACCATACACATTCTGAGCAACATCACGATCTATAGATGGAAGAACATCGTTCGATGACATCGCTTGACTAGTGGGATACATGATTGATTGAGGTGAATACTGATGATCAAATCCAATAGCATGTCCTATTTCATGCACAGCCACAAGATAAAGAGACATATCATCTGTAAAACTGTAATTATTTAAAAAATTATTGTGTGAATCTATGCTATCATAAGGATTATGTGTATTTACTTACCCATCATTCCATTTTTCGTCCTTATCAAAATGTATACGACCATCCTCAGGAAAAAATGCATGTGCCAAAGTTTTTCCTGGTCCATCAAACGAGTATCCATCTCCGTGATTTCCGGACAAGAAATCGATTATAATATCGGCGTTGCATGTTGAACAAGTTTGTTTGATTTTTATTGGAATATGATCTGTCCACTGTTCAAAAGCCCATTTCATAATTGATTCTGTTTGTTCAAATGAAAATTCATTTGGATTACCACGTAAACTCCATGTTAATGAATTCTTTGACCATTTTAAATAAGCATTTGACTGTGACATCCGTTGTACATCTGGATTACCACAGCGTGGTTTACTCATCAGTTGTTTTGTGGTTACATCTAGAATACCTGTTTGTCGAAGTCCATAAAACTTCTGAAATTCTTTAAGAAGAGAAGATACACCGACACTACATGCCATAGCTGAGGTGTTTGTGCATGTATTATAACCATATTGAGTTAGATAATCAAGAGCTTGTGCTGTTGTTTCCACTTCATCTTTCGTTGCGGAGTCTACTGGAGCAGCAAAACTTATATTTATGTGAAGTAACAGTTGTAAAAGCAATAAATAAGACCAACGTTCCATTTTGGATAAAGATAAAATGTTATTGAAAACTACTTCAATTCTTTCCTTTATACACTATCGATTTGATCAAAAAAAAAGAACGTGAGATTTTTCCCAACAGTATATAGTACAATCATAGTGATTAATATGATAAAACATATCAAATATAGTTGTATCTATGGGATGGATGTGTCAATAACCTTTGCAAATGTCAAAAAGAACAATCATAGCCTCGTATCATATTCGAGTAATTTCCAACACCATAATACATTCATACATCCCAGGTCGATCATTCCGGCGACTGGATCCGTTGAAATCTGAGTCGGTTTCGGCACAGCTCTTCTCGATTCCGACACAGTTTCCGCCGATTCCAGCAAGTTCCGGCAGGTTCCTTGCCGCCGGATTCCGGCCGGAATTGCACAGGAAATATCCGATCAGTTCCTGACCGTTTCCAGCTGGAAGTTTGCAGGAAACGGCCAGGAAATGACTGGAACCTACGTTTGAACTTCCGGCCGGAATCCGGCGGCAAGGAAATGGTCGGAAAACGAACCTAACCGGCCGGAACCGACCGTGCCATAATAACCTGGGATGTCGTAGGCCATACTCGGATTCAGAATAATCATAGGTATGGCAATAAAATTTAGTGTCTTACGATGATAAAAACGTCATTTTTATTAATTTAACCTCTATATATTTCTTTTCGATCATTTGTAATAATAAAGTAAAATAAATATTTTTTTTGCTTTCTTTTAGAAATATCTTGGAAGAAAATTTCGATCTAAAATATCACAGAGAGCACACACTGAAAGTGAAAAAATTCTGTCGGTATTTTGACTTTCCTTACTGATAATAATAGGATTTTGCATAAAATAGACTATTTACATCAAGTTAATCTTTTTAGATACTTGTACGGAGTTTATTTTGACTATATAAATAAAAAAAGCATTAGCTTAATTTGTTCTGGGTATGGTAATTACCTTATGAAGGTCCGTCACTGTATGTCACTTTCGACGATGCATCATTTAAAGTGGGATTATTCCCAATAGATAAAATTGCATTAAGGAATCGTTATATCAATCACGTATTGCTCTTCTCTTTCATTTGAAAGAATGTTATTCTCGCTCTCTGTTTGAGGTCCATGAATCAGACCATCACGTAGAATTGAATGAAACGGAATGGGAGAAAACGATTTCTTCTCAACCTATCCTATTTCATATGTGACTAATTGTTTGAAAAATCAATCAATAAGTTTCCCATGTAAAGGGTGGGGTGAGGGTATGGGATGAGAGTGCGAAGGTCTGGGTGTGGATGCGTGTATGGTGAGGGTGGCTGCTAAAGGAGTAGTGGGTAACGGAGGATGGTCGGCTGCGTGACGCCCCGCCATTTGTGCAGTGGGTGGCTATGGTGGGGACCACCGATGGTATAGAGAGTGGGTGGGAGTGCTCAAGGAAGATACGCGATGATAAGTTTATCGTTTTGGTTAGAAACAGGTAAGAGAGCGAGAAAGAAGCTTAGAGAAGTCAAGAGTATGCGTTTGAACTAAATGCTTATTCAATGTACCATGACGGTAGTTGTTGACGAACGTCTATATGATCATTTGGGGAGTGCCAGTTCTTGCTGTTCTAATGTTTTGAATGATAGCATTGTAATCTTGACCTTTGATTGTTTCGTATGGTTGAAGCGAATGTAACCGATTAGAAAAAGTACCATAAAAACTTGAAATTCCTTATTCGCATAGAATCACTGAGCTCCATGCTGTCAACAGTTACACGCAAAGCACATCCTCTCTCCACAGTCGAGGGCTCAGTGAGTCGGCACGACGAACGTTACTTGTACTTTATGCGGAGATTATCTGATTTTTCTTGATCTTTTCAGAATACTTTTAGACAATTGGTTTTTGCCATCAGCAGATAACACAATCATTCCACTAACAATTGTTTATTTATTAATTGAAGTACAAATTCAGTCAATCCAATTAAGAAAAAAATTAATTTATGTATAATAATTAGTTGGCGACGAATTGTCCTAGTGCCTTTTTTTTATAAGACGATCAGAAAATTTTTCTTTTCTTATAGAACGATAGAGAAAATGAAACCCTATTTTTCTACACTAATTCATCTCTATCTACAGGGTTGGAAATAATATTATTCCAGGGAGGTAACGCTACTATTTCGAATACCAACCCTAATGAATTTTATACTAAATTAAAGCCCGTGAAAAATGGGATTTCCTGGTACTAAATTGTAAGGGGTTTGTTTACCTTTTTCCTAGCAAACTTTCAAAAATGATGATAATTTATTTAGATAACGCATGCAAAAATCGGTATAGCAAATGAAACTCGGTCTAATTCATTCGACTGAAGGAAGAGTGATACAAAAAAAAATGAAAATCTACTCGTTTGGTAGTTTATTAAATAGTTTATTTCTTCATGATTTGAGTAGTACAGTCAATAACTGGTATGACGACCATTAGCATTTTTTACCGCACGTAGTCGAGATGGATACGAACATAGAAGAGTTTCGAATAATTCTGTATCTTCTTCCATGTTTCTTAAAACATCTTCGATGTCCATCTTGAGTGTTGCTTCAAGATAACGATTGTTGCCAACTTCGGATAGCATTCTCTTTTCAACTTCATCTTTAATTATTGGTCCAATGTGTTCTACCACATTGAGATCCGGCAAATTTCCAGGCCAGATATCATTGCCCAAAACTTAACGTCGTTATCTTGAAACAAATGCTGTGTCTGATTCGCTTTCATGCATGGCGCTTTATCATGAATAAATGTAACTCCATCGGGATCGATAACATTTTCTTCATTGTTTAAGAAAGGGAATACGTTCTGTGTCAAAATTACATCTCGAAAAGATTCACCGGTCCATGATTCACCTTTATCCTTGTTCACCCAGAGTAATCTTTTGCAAGTGAACATGATGAAAATTCCAATGCATGCTTGATGCCTGATCATTTCACGATACTTTTCATCCTGTTCGATGTCTTCGATACTTCTTGCCCAAATTCGATCATTTTGATAATTTGGTCTACGGACGGTCCACACATAAAATTCATCCGATGGTGCAAGATGAAGAAAGTCTTCCTTGGTCCAGTCGTTTAACCAGTCACACAGCCATAATCGATCTGATATATGAGTTTCTGTTTTTAGTGGTTTCGCAATGACATGGAATGGCTTTAATCCTTCTCGGTGACAATAATTATTAATTGTTCTTGCAGTCACGTATTCTCCGTGTTTTTCAGCAATTTCTTTTGCCACAACAGAGCAGCTTTTTCGTTGTTTATCACTTGCACTAAGAAGAGTATCTTGACTAGCATGAGATAACTTGAGCTTAGGACCAGTATTTGAATAATCAGCAAAGCATTGATCATATGATTTTTCCCACCATTCTGTGACAAATCGAGTAGTACGGTGAACTTTTTCGGCTACCCATTGTCGATTGATAAACGTCGCACCAGCATCACGAGCTTCACGAAAAGCAATGCATCTGATTCTGTCAATCATTCTTTGCTGTTCACTATCGTAAGTACCAGCCATTTTCAAGTAATGAAACTTCGTTGGTTCGAAAGAGGAGAGATTCTTTCACGAAATGTATTGAACTAAAAATGGTGTTATCTATCACTCTACGCATCGCTAGAATTTCTCTCTTTCGGTGTTTCCTCACAGAAAGAAAAAATTGTCTGAATAGCTGCTACCACGTGGATCGAACAACAGAACACGAAACGAGCGATCAATTTCTCTATCAAATATACCTCTTATCATTGCTCGAACAGAGATTTGATTTTTGTACGGGAAATTTCTGTTTTTTCTTGCTCCACCGTTCTTCGAAAATAAATTGTAACGTTTGAAAGTTTCCTAGGAAAAAGGTAAACAAATCCCTTACAATTTGGTGCCAGGAAACTCCATTTTTCACGGGCTTTAATTTGGTATAAAATTCATTAGGGTTGGTATTCGGAATAGTAGTGTTACCCCCCTGGAATAATTTCATTTCCAACCCTGTAGTTACAACCAATCCTTATAGTGACGCAATGTCGGTATTTTCTTTCATGGCTAACATCCTAATTTCTAACAATGGACGACCTATTTACTGAAAAATTGATAATTTGGTGAACATATTCGCATGACCGATAACAAACTTTGTTATCTTTTTGTCCATATTTTACGGAAATCCTAAAGAAAATGTTGATTTTTTCTATATTGGACGCCTAACACGACATTGTATCTGTTCTGTGTACTGCTGTTTATTCGACGTTCTTTTGTGTGCGCTACTTTATATTTGAATGAAATACGTGTTGCAGCAGAAAATCTCATTGGTTTCAAAGCAAAAACTAATGCATTGAAGGTGAATAAGAAAAAGAATCAAAACTCAGATCAAAATATTCTTTTTGCTAAACGAAATACTATAGAATGAATGTTTTTCACTGAAGAGTAATTCAATAATAATAAAACATTTCTGTCGAGTATATTTGCTTATTTAAATCAAAGTAGGTGCGTAAATGCACACATCATATGTATAAGGCAGATAAACTAAAAATGTTTGTTTCACTTTTCACAACACTCATAAACTAACGGATAGAGAAAGCTATTGTTGTATGACAGCGATACTTGTAAAGATGATTCTAAGCTTGAAAGACTAAAATATTTTATTTAGTATATGTGTGCGTATCAAAGTCATTGGAAAACCATATTCACTGGTTATTTACAGTGCAGGAGCAAGAAGTTTAGCGATGACTTCATCACGTTGACATCTAATTGAAAGGAAAAGTCGATTCTGAAATACAATCAAAGAATGAAGAAGAGTTAAACATACCCTTGAATAAATTCTTCTTTGCTTATTTTCTTATCATGGTTAATGTCAAGTTTCTTAATTATTTCTTTTGCACGTTTATGAGGATCATTATCGCCATGACGATCTTT